AAATGCCCTATAACACTAGTTAAATCTTGATAAGAAGTAAAGTACAGAAGCAAAGACTTATTTGATTTACTTACCTAAAACAAATGTTTGTTTTTTTGTAAATACTTTGTTTTATTCCTGTAGTAAATTTGAAAAGGGGTGAAAATCCTCTTTTTTAGTTATATGTATTTACTGGGAAATCATTATGTAATGTACAGAAAAAAATTACATATTGTGTATAAAAGCAAGGGAAATAATTTTGTAAGACTGCTCAAGACTGCTGCTATGGAGATTTAAAATATAGGTTGTGACTATGTATAAATTAGTTCATACTTCATATTTTTATAATAAAAATTAATATATATTAGGTATCCACATTTAAAGGAAAAATACTCATTTGCCAGTTAAAAGTAAAAATATTTATAAATTTATGCTTAATTTTCTATTGTCTTATATGTGTATTCATATTTTTAAATGAGTTGTGATATTTAAAATAACCATATTTTAAAAAGGATAATTGCATACTGGATATATTAGAAATTGATTTAGTGGGCTCGGCACCTATAGCTCAAGCGGCTAAGGCGCCAGCCACGTACACCTAAGGTGGCGGGTTCGAATCCCCAGCCCGGACCCGCCAAACAACAATGACGGCTGCAACCAAAAAATAGCCGGGCGTTGTGGTGGGCGCCTGTGGTCCCAGCTACTTGGGAGGCGGAGGCAGGAGACTCGCTTGAGCCCAGGAGTTGGAGGTTGCTGTGAGCTGTAATGCCACGGCACTCTACCCAGGGGGACAGCTTGAGGCTCTGTCTAAAAAAAAAAAAAAAAGAAAAAAAGAAATTGATTTAGTGACTGTAAAAAGCTTTAGTAACTCTTAAGATCCATTTGCTATGGTAAATACCATTCAGATATGAAAACAGAAGTCTTTAGTTTAAGAATAAAATATTCTGGGCAGCACCTGTGGCTTGAAAGGGTAGGGTGCTGGCCCCATATGCCAGAGGTGGCGGGTTCAAACCCAGCCCCAGCCAAAAAAAAAAAAAAAAAAGAATAAAATGTTCTTAAATAACTTTATAATACATCACTGATGTCTGACTACAAATTATAAACCACTTCATTTAATTATATTTTAAGCATGAAACATTATAGTAATATCTTTCCAACATACAAAATAATTGATGAATAAATTTGCAGATTCTCATGTTCGAATGAGAGCTTGCTTTGAGCTTATTGATTTTTTTTTTATTAAGTCATATATACATAGATCATGAATACATTTATGCCTTTGTGGGATTCAGTGTGCTGATTAGCTGTACAAATTAGAGTGCTTAACACTATGATTAAGTAAATGAGGTGAAAGCTGTGTTAATTAGTATGATGTAAGCACTCTAATTTGAGCTTATTGTTAATATATATGGTCATCACTTTTTAAAAATTTTGGATTAAAAGTACTAGAAACATTTGAGTTGCATTTTATCCCATATATTAGTTTCAATAAAAGTAATAAGCAGGTACTCATAGACAGGAGCCCAGAAAACTAAGGCAAACACAGCCACTTCAGTTTACTGCTAATTGAGAGCTTTGTCCTTAAGTGTGTACTTTTTATTTAAAAATTATTTAAGAATGTGTAGTCAGGCTTGGTGCCTGTACTCAGTGGTTAGGGCGCCAGCCACATACACCTGGGTTTGAACACAGCCCAGGCTGGCTAAACAACGACAACCACAACAAAAAAATAGCCGGGTGTTGTGGCAGGCGCCTGTAGTCCCAGCTGCTTGGAAGGCTGAGGCAAGAGAATCACTTAAGCCTAAGAGTTGGAGGTTGCTGTGAGCTATGATGCCCTGGCATTCTACCAAAGGTAACATAATGAAACTCTGTCTCAAAAAAAGAATGTGTAGTATATGCCAGTGATAGTACTTTTATTTTAAAATTTTTTGAGACAAGGTCTTGCTCTGTTACCCAGGCTAGAGTGCAGTGGTTATCATAGCTCACCACAGCTTCTAACTCCTGGGCTCAAGCAGTCCTCCTGCCTCAGCCTCCTGAGTAGCTGGGACTCAGGCGTGCATCACCACGCCCAGATAACTTTTGTATTTTTTTTATAGAGACGGGATCTGACACTTGCTCAGGCTGATCTTGAACATTCTGAGCTCAAGCAATGATCCCACTTTGACCTCCCAAAGTGCTAGAATTATAGGCAGTGATAGTATTTTAGGGCTGTGTTTACAGGTAATGCCTCTGTATTCTAAGGTTTTAAAAATAAGCTGAGTATTCATAGAGTTTTTAGATGTTTCACAAGTGGACAGAAATAGAAAGCTTTTAGTTAAAACACAGGTATTATAAATATAATTTCATTTTGTTATGCCACTATGATTTTGTTAATTGATGCCATTGTATTAATCTTGTATAAATAGCCCTCCACAGTGTACAGCAGATACTATAGGAGTCACAATCAATGATTATTAAATATAAAAGAAAGTTTATCATAGACCACAGTTACATAAAAGTCTATAGTAGATATAATAAATTCATTAACTTTTTATCTTCCTTTATATGGTAGAATATATATCCATTGATTTAAAGTGGTTTATTTCCAAAGGAAGCATATTCTTTTTTTCAATAAAACTAGAACACATTGGCTCGGCGCCTGTGGCTCAAGCTGCTAAGGCGCCAGCCACATACACCTAAGGTGGCGGGTTC